GCATGCCCAGAAGATCTAGAATAATTGCTTTTGAGATTTCCCATTAAGACTCAGTTACATAGCTCAGCAACTATGGTATCACTAGGAGTCATCCCCAAAACACAACAAACACCTCCCTTAACACAAACAGCATGAGTCCATTTTTAATGATAAATGTCATGAAAGGATTGCCAGTGGGAGGTTTGTGGATCCTCAGGTCAGGGAAGATGGTGTGGCCTCACATCTGCTTTGAGAAAAAACTTAAATATTCCTGTTCACCTTAGACGAAATACCACTATTTGGGATAAGCCACCTATTTCCAAGATCTGATCCCAAGAGATATTTTTTTTGTTGTTCCACACAAACGTGGATCAGGAAAAATGCCTCAGAGTGTTTCAAATCTGTAGCTCTGCCAGATGTTCATAGAAATGGGCGCAGGGGTGGGGGGATCAGTACTTTGGAAAGCTGTGGGTTAAATAAAAAGATGACTTCATTACTCAGAACCAGTCAGAATCTTTAAAATGGGAGCGTACTTTATAAGTCTCCAAGATGGAGCAGTCTAAACTTATTTGATCATTGAATTTGTTTTGTTTTGTCTTGTTTGGGCCATGGTATATCTTAAAGATCAGTTTTTCACATCAGCCGCATATTCACACATAGGTAGTTTTTAAAAACTCTAATACCCAGACTTCACCCCAGGTCAACTGCATTAGAATTTCTAGGGGTGGAACCCTGGCATCAATAGTTTTTATAGCTTCCCCCGTGTGCACAAACGTGGATCAGGAAAAATGCCTTGGAGTGTTTCAAATCTGTAGAACCAACTTGAGAACCAACATATCTTTGGGAAAAAAACTGAACTATACATTCTATTCTCTTCTTCAAGCTAAAAAAAAATAAAAAATAAAAAAAAAAGCTGCACAAAATTACAAACAAAGAAAAACTAATGACTAGAGTTAGGCCATCCCTACTTTATTCAACCAGCTTTATTCCACTAGACATTAGCCCAACACCCTACCTCTGACACCTCCGTCACCTCCATCACCTCCACACCTCATCATTATTTTTCATGCCATTCTTTCTAGATAGGTCTTCAAAACTGGGTCCCTGGACATAATTTATTGTTAGCATAATTTTATTCCCCTTTGAGTCTGTATGCCATAGAAAATTTGTGGTATTTTGCAGGTTTAGGAATCATCACCAACACCAAAAAACTTGCCAAGCTGATACATACAAACCGATAAACCAAGAAGTTGGTATCAAATGAATTTTAACACAGAAAAATATATATACCTCAAAGAAGAGTTGTGCCACTTAGATTAGTTAACTTTCAATGTTTTGTGAAACTTGAAACTCCTACAAGCACTGTTTTATGAGTGCCCAAGAGCCTACACCTGAAAGCCATCACCATTACCTCCATGAAAACAAGGTGGGACTACACTAGGGGCCAGTGGTCTTGTGGAACTTTAGACAAGAGGCAATTAATATGACCTCACAGAATATACACTAAGTCTGGTAGTATACTGAAGGGAGGGAACCTCTAAAAGACTCATCTCAGGCTTGCCAATTTAAACTCTGCTGACTCTGCCCCCAGGACTGAAAGGCCCCTTGTATCCTTGAAGGCCGGCTGCCAGGCCCACACTGAGATGGGCGGACAAAAAAGAATTCAAGGAGATGGAAATACTCTCTCCCTCTAGTTTTCAGCTAGAATCACTCTTGATAAACACATTGACTGTTCTTACTACAAAAGAAAAGCACAGTTTGACACAAACACCTTACAATTCAGTGGAACACCCTAAGACTGACTCGCAAACGGTAACACTGCAACACTCCTGAGTGTCGCAACGAGACAGAAATTCAACTATCGCTATAGTCAACTGTACTTAATTTAATCAAGAAGTCAGTAAAGCTACACAAATCTTTTTCTAAATCTGTCTCATTTCTAGTGAATTTTTAACTAGGTTAATAGAAGGCTATAATTTAAAAATTTTAAATATAAACCCAAATAGAAAAAACAATCAGGTCATCTTTTTGGTTATAATAATGGACCTATACTACAAGCACCACATTATTACTATCCTATCTAGTGTACTGTTAATTTTTTAAAAGCCTATGCCACAAAAAATGATGCCTATGAACAAAAAGTTATAGCACCCAAAATCAGCACTTAGATGGTTATGCAAAGCATATGCCACATAAACAAAAAGTTATAGCACCCAATGGTTATGCTTATTTCCATGCAAGTGTTCTGTGGGTCCTAACCCCCAGATCCAAAGTTACACCTTACTTTTCAGTATACCCATCACACCTATCTCCTAACCCTAGTAAAACCCTGTAATTGTTTTGCATACTCGTACTTTCTACGAACTATACAGACTTCCCCTGCAGTAAGTATGAAGGTATCCTAATCATCTTTAGATCCAAAGGAGTATCACAGTGGCTGGCATAGAAGGAATAATGTACTTATTTTATTCTCTTTGGACACAAATGGAAAAGAACTCAATTCCAGCTATTGAGAGTAGAGTCAGCCATGCAAACAAATAATTATGATACAAAATGTAGGCTTTAATATTATGTGTAGTACTGTAATACATAAAACATAAAACAAAATTATAGGTAAACAAACAAATAATTATGATACAAAATGTAGGCTTTAATATTATGTGTAGTATTGTAATACATAAAACATAAAACAAAATTATAGGTAAAGGACTGGCCAAGCTTCTTCAGATAAATGAGGAAAGGCTTTACAGAAGTGACTACTCAAATAAATGTCTGAGAAATAAATAAATCTTGAAGAAGAGCATTGTTTATATTGATGATAGCCTTTATCAAAAGACTCTAAAATTATAGCACAAATGGGTACATAGGCATTGCAGTAAATAGTACATCTGAACATACCAACCACACCTTCAAAAGCCTTCAGATCCTCTTTTTTAAACAATTTTAAGCAATAGCAAGGTGTGGTGCCTGTAATCACAGTGACTTGGGAGGCTGAGACAGGAGGATCATAAGACTAAGGCCAGCCTCAGCAACTTAGCAAGATCCTGTCTCAAAATGAAAAATAAAGAGGACTGGGGGTGTAGATCAGTGGTAAAATATCCTGGGTTCAGTCCCCAGTAGCCCCCCCCACACACACACACACAGAGTATTACACTAGGCACAGGGATAATGCATTAGTTCATTTAATCCTAGAATAGCCCGGTAGCCATTTTACAGATCAGGAAACTAAGTCTCAGAGAAGACAATTTGCCCAAACCACTTACACTTACTATAAATAATGAGAAGTAAACTGAAGCTTCAAACCCAGCCTCCCTACCTCCAAAGCATATATTCTTAACTACTTTGCTTAGAACTGAAGTAGAATTATTAGTATTATCATTATTTTCTTTTCTGACAAAATAGAACTGTATTTCATAAAGTGCTTTCAAATGACAGGAGGGAAAAAAAAAAAACCTCTAAGTTTCCTTAACACTCTCCTGTACATAAGCCACCACGGGTTTCTCTGCCCTTCTGTCGGCAGTCGCCATGAACAGGAGCTGAGCATGGCACCCTTAGCTTGGGTGATGGAGGTGTGGAACTGGCTCCCGCTTTCAGCCTGAAAGCAGGTGGATCTCACTAGGCAAGGAATTACAGCTCTGGGAGTGGGTGTCCCCCAATGGGACTGGGCTACACTGCCCTGAAGCCCAATCCCTTGCTTCATTTGGGTGGAACTTTCTCGAGTGTCTTCCCCTCAATAAATAGGGTTTCAGGTGTGCTCTTTCTTTTGCCAGCCTCTCTTGCCTCCCTCGTGGGAGCTGGGGCAGAGGAGCCCTCACTGAACCCCAAGAAAAAGGTACTTTCTATGCCTGTAGGATTTGTTCGTGCCAGCCCAATTCACCTGGAGTGACCCTGACTCCCTTCAATGGCTAAGGGCTCATTCTCCCAAAGGCTGGAGGGGGTGCTCCTCTCAGCACCCCATCCTTGACCTCCCTACAGCACTCTACGGCTGCCTCCCAGGTGCCCCCTCCTTCCTGCCTTCACACCCAACTGTGTCCCTCTCTCTCCTGTGGTCTCAGAAACGGGTGGGAATCTCCTGGGTCTTAAAGGATTGTTTCTTATTCTCTCAAACCTTTACCAAGAAGAACCCTCTGAATGTACAGCAGAGTGGGAAGACAGCACAGAGGCCCCTGGGGTACCCAAATATACCTCCTTATGATAACAGTAACAATAAAAAGCACTACATATGCTTATAGGTTTCAATACACAAATAAGCAAAAAGGGAAAATTATTTTTTAAATTCACAGTTCTATCAGAGATTGCTGTTTTGGTAGTATTTTGGTTAAATTTGGGTTTTGGGTTTTTTTTTTAATCAATGCTAGAGATTCAACCCCAGACCTGGGGAGCCAAGGTCTACCACTGAGCTATACCCACAGTCCCCTTCTACTTTTTAAGCAAGGTCAAGTTTACCCTAAATTTTTTTTTTAATTTTCTTCAGGTGATACTTACATAACTTTCTTTTCCAACACTGTAACAAGAGACACACTTCCGGAGGATGTAAACTCCATGTGTGTACTAAACAGGGCGTCTAGGGTCCCCACCAAACCCGTGCTCCTGGAAGGTCCTTGTTCCATATCCTCAGGACCTGACATGAGTCACAGCTCAATCGATGCTCATGGAATTAAAGAATGGAGGAATCAATGATGTAGATTATTAAAAGCAAACAAAGCTCGACACGGTTATTAGTTCCTAAATTAGGCCCTCTTTGTGCTTCAAGAAAACTGTCAGATTATAGAGAGCGATGTAGGAAAAAAAAATTAAAATAAAAGATAAACTCCTAAAAGGAACAAGACATTTTATTCTTACTAGCTACAGGGGGGTGGGGATTATGCAAAAAGAAATAATAAGAGAGGAGGGAGAAAAAAAAAAAAACAACCATCAACCTCATTTCCTTCCATAAAGCATCCTGTTCAGTCTTAGACAATTTAACTGTAGAGCAGCCGGCTCCCTAGTCAGGTCTAGCCAAGTCTTGTGAGCGGTCATACCTGAATGGAAGATAGGGGGGATTTGAGCCAGACAGCAGTGCTCTGTAGGCTTCTTCAGGTGTCTTCTTTAAATAGATCACCTAAGACAGAGAAATAGTGACATTTAGAATACCACACCAAAGAATGACACAAAACTAGTTACTCACCAAATTTGCATTTCACTTCTTCCACTTATAGTGAAAAACCTCATGAGGATATGTTGATCTTTAGACAGCAACCAAAGTGCCCAAGTTTCCTTTTCAGCTTGAAGCTGAGGCTCAAAGATGGGTAAAAGGTTAGAGACAGAGGGCAGATTATTTTTGTTGGTTTGTTTTGGTACTGGGGTTTGAACTCAGGGGCTCTTAACCACTGAGCCACATCCTCAGCCCTTTATTTATTTTTTTTTAATGCAAGGTCTCACTCAGTTGCTTACAGCCTCACTAAATTTCTGAGGCTAGCTTTGAACTGGTGATCCTCCTGCCTCAGCCTCCCAAGCCCGGGGGATTTACAGGCATGTGCCACTGCTCCCGGCTTTTTTTTTTTTTTTTTTAATGATTCAGAAAATTCATTATTTTGAGATGTGGTATGGACCACCCAGGAATTAGTATTTCATACATCTTTATCATATTAAATGGATAGGAGAAAACACAAAGTATTAATCTGAATAGAGTACAAATCTGAAAAGGGTATCTAATCTGTCCTCTTGGGAGATGCATTTAAAATTCCTACTTCTTAGTATTAATGACCTTTTTGCAGAGAGCAGATTCTGGAAGAGGTAGTTCACCTCTGCACACCCAGAAGGCACAATAGCAGGGGACACCCACACCTCCATTGTTACACCGTGGGCTCAACAACGACAAAAACAGGCCTCTAGTGTCTCCCATAGAAGATCTCTCATGAGTTAACTCAGTGATTGGCAAATTTTGAAATACGTCTCACAGTGAGCACTATACCCATAAGACATCTACTGAGTTCTCTTATCTGCTCTGAGGAAAGCCAGTGTTGCTCTCTAAATGTTCAATGACATCACAATAAAATGGGAGCGGGGGTGGTATTTGTTAAGCGTGTTAGAAAACTTAGTGGCTTGGCCCTTTATCCCAGGGATACTTAATCCCTCTGTACAGCATGAAAATTAATCTTAAACAAAGAGAGGAACAAAAAGGAGCTCTTTCAACCCGTAAACAACCTCCACCCAGTCGACGTACGCCTACATAGCATATGCACGCACTGTGTTGGCCGCTGGTTCTTCCATTAGTAGAATTTACATTATTGTGGAGCAAAGACAATAATTAGCAAAAATAAAAACAATCTAAGTGCTGAAAAAGAAGCAAGCAGGTTTCTGGAGAGAGAAACAGAAAAGAGGTGGTTGATGGATGGCGGTCAGGGAGAGGTCTCTGGCGCTCAGGTGGCGCTCTAGAGGGTTTGGGGAGAGCTAAGGGATAGGAGGAAGGATCTCCCAGGCAGTGAAAAGGACAAGGACAAGGCTGGTGGAGGTGGGAAAGAGCTTGTGAGCTTGGGAGGGCTGGGGTAGCCTGTAGGACAAGCCAAGCAATGACCAGAATGTGAAAAACACCACAAACCATGGAGGGATTTGGTTTTATTCGAAGTGTAATTTAATGTCTTAATTTTGGGCCAAGGGCATAGGTACTTCTCATTTATAGTTTGAATTTAATTCCCCAAATCCTCTCTACCAAAAATTAATGGCATTATTTCCTTAATGTGTCCCAACATCAAAACAGTATGCATTTCTATTACAAGAATGGCAGAGTCCCAGTTACTTAAAAAGTAGGGTTTTTTTTTTCTCTGTACTTATAAGCTTCTTTGAGCTTTAAGCTATTCTACTAACAATATATCACATGTATTTACTTATTAACAATTTCAGGAATAGGAAGCACTCTAATTCTGATTTCTCTAAAGAAAATTAAAATAAATGATAAAAAGAAGTACATCTAACTTTAATAACAAGGATCCATATTCATTTGGCAAATAAAGAGAAAGTCTAATAAGGCATACACCAACCTAAGTGAATTGAGGATGAAACAAAAACAGCACCAAAAATGAGTTAACCTTAAAAGTACTGATCTAGACAAGTGGCACAGATTCCACAAATAGAGAATCACGACTCTAGTTCCAGCTCAAATAATTATAAATCCATTTCAGTCAACCCTAGCTTCCACGACCATTTGCAGGAACCAATGTTACAACATAATTTCACTGCACTCTAATGGGTAGGTTATGTAACAGTGTTGGTCGTAAGGCAGTGCTACAGCAATTGAAAGTTGACTAGGCTGCTAGAAGGGAAAGCTGCTTGTAGAAAACCTTCTGTGTTTGGATTAGATAATTAAAGCTTATACGTCAACCTTTGAAAAGCAAAAATACATTTCCCTCCTCGGGAGCAATTACATTAATTCCCTTTAATTTTGAGGCAGTGGTTCCGCAGGTTCTGCAGTCACCGGCCCACATAAAATGCTTCCCCTACATTGGTGACCCCACAGGGTTTCGCTCCTCATCTTACCTGCATGACTTAGCACACATGACCCATGTTCTCACGCTGTAAGATGAGAGCCTTTGTTTTTATTTTTATCCCGGTGCTAAATTATTAATAAGTGCAAAATGAAACCCAAAGGAGGCCATTTAAATTCCAGGAAGAATCCCGGGGCATCTGTTACAGGTTGACCTTTTACAGCCTGAATGTAGGTACTTAGGGAGAGTGGGAAAATGTTTTCCTGATACACAAGGGCATTACCGAATGAATGCATGCTAAGTCATTAGAATACAGACTCTCATTTTTCCAGAAGAAAATATGGCATGTATTCCTATGCCAGCTCTTCTTACACATATCTTCTAGGAGAAAGAGAAGGAGGGGGAGAGAGAGAGGGAGGAAAGGAGAGAGAGAAAGAGAACAAATACAGGCCTGATTAAAGCTCAAAAGGAAAGTAACATTTACCAGATTCAGAGAATCTGGGGCTCAGAAAGGTTTACCTTTCCAAACTTGCACTGTTGCTCTATGGTGGAGTTAGAATTTTTGAACATGTATCTGACTCAAAAGAAAGAAAAAATGAACGCTTCCAAGTTCCTAAATGCCATTACACTTGATTTGTACAATTAGGTGACTTCAAACTATTAACTGTTGCCTCTGAGGAATAGGACTAGGGAAGCATTTGAGGTAGAAAGGGAAACTTTCTTTTTTTTTTTTTTTTCCTGAGCTCTTTATTTTTTTTTTATTATTGGTTGTTCAAAACATTACAAAGCTCTTGACATATCATATTTCATACATTTGATTCCAGTGGGTTATGAACTCCCATTTTTACCCCAAATACAGATTGCAGAATCACATCGGTTACACATCCACGTTTTTACATACTTCCATACTAGTGTCTGTTGTATTCTGCTGCCTTTCCTATCCTCTACTATCCCCCCTCCCCTCCCCTCCCATCTTCTCTCTCTACCCCCATCTACTGTAATTCATTTCTCTCCCTTGTTTTTTTTCCCTTTCCCCTCTCATCCTCTTATATGTAATTTTGTATAATAATGAGGGTCTCCTTCCATTTCCATGCAATTTCCCTTCTCTCTCCCTTTCCCTCCCACCTCATGTCTCTGTTTAATGTTAATCTTTTTCTCATGCTCTTCCTCCCTGCTCTGTTCTTAGTTGCTCTCCTTATATCAAAGAAGACATTTTGCATTTGTTTTTTAGGGATTGGCTAGCTTCACTTAGCATAATCTGCTCTAATGCCTTCCATTTCCCTGCAAATGCCATGATTTTGTCATTTTTTAGTGCTGAGTAATTCTCCATTGTGTATAAATGCCACATTTTTTTTATCCATTCATCTATTGAAGGGCATCTAGGTTGGTTCCACATTCTAGCTATTGTGAATTGTGCTGCTATGAACATCGATGTAGCAGTATCCCTATAGTATGCTCTTTTAAGGTCTTTAGGGAATAGTCCGAGAAGGGGAATAGCTGGGTCAAATGTAGTTCCATTCCCAGCTTTCCCAGGAATCTCCATACTGCTTTCCAAATTGGCTGCACCAATTTGCAGTCCCACCAGCAATGTACAAGTGTACCAGAAAGGGAAACTTTCTATTTTGTATTCTCTATCACTGTATTTTGTACAGATAGGTTCAAATTTGTTTTTTAATGCAAAGCAACTCAATCCATTATGAACTCCTAAGTATACCCTTTTTCTAAAAATAAGATCTATATTTAATACTTTAAAAGTTGTCACTAGATATTCTAATATTTCTAAAAATATTTTATGAATAATACTATTTTCAAAGTATCTTCTAAATATTCTGATTTTTCTTTTTCTCCTTCTAAGGGGGAAATTATGTAAGACTGTCTACTCCTCTCACTTGCTCTTAGTATACATAAGCCCAGTGGGAGAGCCAGGCATGGTGGCACACACCTATCATTCAAGATACTTAGAAGGCTGATGCAGGAGAATCACAAATTCAAGTCCAGCCTGAGCAACTTGGCAAGACTGTCCCAAAATAAAAATTAAAAAGGGTTGAGGATGTAACTCAGTAGTAGAGCATTCTTAGATTCAATCTCCAGTACCACAAAATAAAAATAAATCCAATGAGAAGAATTTTTCCAAACTTTCGATCAATACAACTTGACAAAAGCCACCTGCACAGCTAACTAGTGGCTTGATTTGCCACACCAAGTTAGTAAGCAGTACATGCATCACTTCTATAAAATCTACCTACCTGGTTAGGAAAGCCTAGAAACCTCCTCCATAAAATAACATTTAACATAGACATTTTTTTTTTAATCTTTAACTAAACATGAGTCAGCCAATTAAAGTGAATGGGTTTTTTTTTTTCTTTTTAATAGACTTTACTGCCAGGTACCAAGGATGCAAATAACTCCATTTCATAAACACAAGACTCCTAAGAGCCAGGATCATCAACAATATGAAGTTTTTATTTAACAACATAAAAACAATTACAGTACTTCAAGCCAGAATAATTTAGATTGTTTACCAATAAGTTAATGTTGCCCAAACTTCAATTAATTATGTATTAACTTTCCCAGCTTCTATCACCTATACCACCGTGTACTACCATTTCTCTCTAAACAGACATGCTCTTTTAACTTA